AGTATCATGAGGCTGTTTCTTATGCCAATGAGAACTGTAATCGATGCTCAAAGGAAGAGAAGCCATTGTTTAAGACCTATAGGCATTTGGAGCCGGAGGCCGGTGCGGTCCAGGAGGTTTAAGAGTGCGTGGCGCAGTAGGAAAGTGGATCAAATGTGGCCTAGTATGTTGTGCTGACGCTATGGGAACCTAAACCACCATTGAACCGATGCGATATGGACCAGAGAAGAGGCCAAACAAGAGAGGGGGACATAATTGTGATCTGAGAAGCATGAGAGTGGAGCCGAGAGGCAAAATTCAACCAGGGACCTGAAATTTCAATTTCGGCAGAAGGACAAAGCATGCAGGTAATGTACAAGACGGAGGCAAGTAAGTGAGGCAGTTACTTATACAAATGAGAACGTTTGCCGACGGCAGCCGATGCTCGAATGAGAGAGGCCTTGTTTTGAGACCGATGGGTATTAGGAGCCTGAGAGGCCGGACAAGTCCAGTAGGTTTAATAATGAGTGTCACCGTAGCAAAGAGAATCAAACGGGGGCTAGTAAGTTGCGCTGGCGTTAGAGGTACCTATACCGTCACTGAACCGATGCGATATGGACAAAAAGAGAGGCCAAACAAGAGAGGGGGACGATACTTGTGAGCTGAGAAGAATGATAGTGGAGCCGAGAGGCAAGATTAATCTAGGACATGATCTTTCGATTTAGGTAGAGGGAGCAAGCGTACAGATAATGAATCGGACGGAGACGAGAATCATGAGGCCGTTACTTATACCGTTAACAACCTTAATCGATGGCAGCCGATCCTCAGAGGAAAAGAGGCCTTGGCTTGAGACCTATAGTCATTTGGAGCCTGAGAGGCCGGAGTAGTCCAATGGGTTTAACGATGAGTGCCATAGTAGCAAAGAGAATCACACGGGGGCTAGTAAGTTGCGTTGACGTTAGAGGAACCTATACCGCCATTGAACCAATGCGATATGGACCAAAAGAGAGGCCAAACAAGATAGGGGAACGTAATTGTAAGCTAAGATGCATGATAGTGGAGCCGAGAGGCAAAAGTCAATCAGAGACTTGAAATTGCAATTTGCAGGGGTCCAAGCATATTATAATGTATCAGACGGAGGCGAGTACATGAGGCTGTTTTTATGCCAATAAGAACTTGAATCGATGTTGAAAGGAAGAGAAGCCTTGGATTGAGACCCATAGGCATTTGGAGCCTGAGAGGCCGGACTAGTCTAAAAGGTTTAGGAGTGAGAGCCACAGTCGCAAGAACATATAGCGACGTCTGGGATTAGGCATATAGATAATGAATCGGACGGAGACGAGAATCATGAGGCCGTTACTTATACCATTGAGAACCTTAATCGATGGCAGCCGATCCTCAGAGGAAAAGAGGCCTTGGCTTGAGACCTATAGTCATTTGGAGCCTGAGAGGCCGGAGTAGTCCAATGGGTTTAACGATGAGTGCAATAGTTGCAAAGAGAATCACACGGTAGCGGAATAAGCAGCACAAACAGTGGGAGTAGTAAAGTTGGAGACAGTAGTGTGGGCCCATAGAGCCCAAAGGTTGTATGTAGTCTATGTACACAGAATGCGAGAGGTAAAAATAGTGCTCAGATCACTTATATGGTATGTTGATGAGGAACTAGTCCGATGAGGTCCCGTAATCAGTGTAGGTCAGTGAATGATGTGTGAGGAAACGGGTGGAATATACTTAAGAATAGTGGTATGTCACTAGTCAGATATGTAGGCGTTTTCATGCGAGAGCCGATATATGCACAGAACTTGTAAATGTGGTGTCAATCAACTTGCCAATGTGTTAGGGGCCGTGACTTTATTGAGTAGAGAGTCACATCCGCCACGTCGCAGTGTTGTTAAGCAGACATTTGTGGCTTTTTGTAGGGAAAACGCTTGCCAGACGAAGACCCACCACGTCCTGGAACACTGCCGGCTGTTGATATACATTGGCAAGATGGTATCTGACCGAGTACCCTCGCGGATATTCGCAGTCACGCGACGCCAATTTGTTTCCTATGGCTGTGTAGTCGCCTTCGGAGTCCAATACAAGTGGTTGGAGCTGTTGAAGTCGGACGACTCAGGTGACTTGTATTGAATTGATCAGTTACCTAGGTTCTTTAGTGTGTCATGATTATGAAGTGCGGGTTTTTCTTTGTTCTTTATTGAATCCGTGTCCATGAGAGCATCGCAGGTACGTCTTCAGCGGTGTTCGGTGCAGGTAATGTTATCCTGTAGAACAGGGTGAGAAGAAAAACGGACCGAGCAAACTGCCAACAAAATTGAACAGGACTATGTTATTGTATAAATATAAAATTTATGGTAAAGTTGTGCTGGCTGAAATCAATGGAGTGACCGATGAGCTGATGCTAGTGATACCTATACCGTCAATGAATAGTTGCGATATGAGCGAAGTGAGACGCCAACCAAGAGAGGAAGACGATAATGTGAGCTGAGATGCATGATAGTGGAGCCGAGAGGCAAAAGTCAATCAGAGACCGGAAATTCGGATTTCGGTAGGCGTTACCAAGCGTAGAGATAATGATTCAGACAAAGAAGAGTATCATAAGGTTGTAACTTATACCAATGAGAACTTGAGTCGATGGCAGCCGGTGCTCAAAATAAGAGAGGCCTTGGCTTGAGACCGATGGGTATTTGGAGCCTGAGAGGCCGGACAAGTCCAGTAGGTTTAATAATGGGTGTCACAGTAGGAAAGAGAATCAAGCGGGGGCGAGTCATATTCGACACGTTGCAGTGTTGTTAAACGGACATTTGTGGCTTTTTATAGGGAGAGCGCTTACCAGGCGAAATCCCAACACATCCTGAAACACTGCCGCCGATCCACTGATGGGCAAGTCGTAACTGGCTATCTTTCTCGTTGAAGGTTGGTTTGCTAGATTATTCGTAGTCAAGTTGAGTCCCAGTTTCTGTTTGCTGATGCGCTAGGCGAGTGCCTGTTGCGTTTCTGGGTCCTGTCCTGTTTTGAACGAATGGCTGTGCCCGATTGGTAGGTCAGGGACTAAATATTTTTCTGAATATGATGCGTTGATGATCTGCAGAACCACTGCTCCCCTGGGGTATGTTGTATAATTGATGGGAAATATAGGAAACCGCGGTCAATTGAGGGGGCAAGGTGGATTGAAGAGCTCAAAATGACCAATTGTTTTGGCTTTGTATCGGCAGGAGAATGTGCCTTTCGAACTCAAAGGGAATACTCCAGGCAAGAGGTAGGTGGAAGGAGTAGTGTTATGCAAACTGAACCCAATGGTTCATGCCCCGGAAAAGTTGTATCCTTGCAAGACATCGAATGGTTTGCCCTGTCAGTAAGTTGTAAAAACGGTTGCTAATCTTCCGCTTATGTCCAGATAAAGGAACTGTGTTCCTAGTATTGTTGTCGCAACGATGGATAATTCCTTGGGTGCCCATCGCCTTACCCGGTAGAACCTCGGGTGCAAAAAGCAACGAACAGCAACAGCTACACAGACAAATGAAAGGAATGCATCTGCAACACAGTCGATCAATTGCAACGATGACTGAACTATTGTACCCATATACGTGTAATTGTTATTTAAGTATCACATATACACGTACCATAGGTAGCGAATATACGAGAGGAAGCGAGCAGAAGACGGCTCAGTATAGAATGAACGTGTTCCAAATTAGGAATGAAGATGAAGCAAAGCGAGGTTGATGGGTCCTAAGGTGCCTACTTCCTTTCAGAACAATTATAATGTTCACGATTTCTCTGTCATCAAGGTACCTTCTTTTGAATTTCCATGGCTGTTTCCAACTTGCTTCCTCACGGAGACCGTCTGCGATATTTAAACTTTTCCGGTCCTTTTGCAAAGCGCCAGCTGGTTTACTTTCTTCATAATTAAACGCCTTGCCATCTTAAGAAGGATGCGTTTATAACAATATACCGGAAACCGAACAACCTCCACGTTGTGTCAGCTGTTTTGCATGGGTCATTTTCGTTTCAGCTGATGGTTTGGCAGCAGCGCTTTAGGTGTTGATGGGCTACCGTCTGGCAACTGTTCACTTCATTCAAACGCACAAATGGCAGTTTGACAACATTGCTGACGGAAACAACATTTTAGTGACCCAGTAACTACAACTAGTGTGATACTTTTAAAATAGTAAGGCTGGTTTTCAATGGCACCTATAATGCATCATATGTGGAAGCTGATGAATGGCATCAATGTCACCAAGTATACTGATCTAGCTGAATTAATAACTTTAGGGTTCTGCATTGGGGAATAGTCTTGAGCTACTAAAACCTTTGGCTGCTAGGGGCGGAATCCATTCAAAATGGTTAAGCAAACAACAAGATGAAGTTCATGTTTCCCTGCTGTGATGCAACATGGAACAAGCAATCAGAAGGGGCTAAGCTAAAGCCAGTTGGGCGGTCTCCCAATAATTTAGAACCGAATCCTCGTATTTCGAATTATGTGGCTGATGCATGAAAGTACCTCAGCTGCCTTCCTTCCTCTATTGGTTCTCTTGCAAAACAAATGCAATGCTCTGGCGAGCGTATCATTACGAGAAGCCGCAGATTTATCTAGTAGTTCCAGCATCCACTACTTATTCAGTTCTTCTCATCACACGGTATTACTAGGATTTATTTGATGTACGTTTTGTTATAATTTAGTTTATCATTTCCTCTTTCCTGTTTTACGTACCCGCACAGATAGAGCAGTAGGGGTGGACAATATTTAGTTCACCAAAGTGTGAAGCGGTTTTCTTTTAAATTGAGCAAGTTACCCTTTCTTCTACCAAGTCCAGGTTTAACGACCGCGGAAGAAGGAAACTTCAAGGGAATATCCCGCCATTTCTTTCCCAATTGAAGTTATACTTGTTTCGGCGTTGGAACCTGAGCTAAGTTTAAGGCACTTACGCCTAACACACTATTACATTAATAAAGCTAGGACACCGATTTTATGCTACAGCTTCTATCAAAATAGGTTGGAATGCATAACATAAAAGGTATCTATTGCCATCGACCTTGAAGAACTTTTGACAACATGTCATCCGTGTTAAAATCACCTTACATGAGATTAAACACATGTGACGGCCTGATTGGCCAAGAATATGACAAATACAAGTGTTTCAACTTTTGGATATTCAACTTTTACAAAATATTTAAAGACAACCTAGAGTCCGATGAATTGATTATGGGTATAAAACCAAAAGACGTAGTTCACGCGATAGCAGGCTTGTTTTTAGCCAGTCTTCAGTCGATGTCCAAGACGAGTGTATACGATACACTGTCAAGAAAAAACTCATATTCTATTGTTTGCTTTGCTGACCTAGCCAGCGCAGCCTCTCACATACAACGAAATCTGAAGCCAAATACACAGGTAGTTATATACAATTGCTAAATTACTAAGGAAAGATAGGAATTCACGAGGAGTTAAAGCCGGATACCATATCATCACTTTCGTCTTGTATGGATGCTATATATTTCGAGCAGAATAAGAAGAGCGACGATATGTCTGAAAATGATAAACCAGATATTAACGATTTCAAGCTTGTCTATCCCAGTGAATTTTCAAATTCGTCAAGTGAAGAAACATCTCCTTTAAGTGATGAAACAGGAGTGTTAAATTCGTCTTCTTCAGATCACAATGAAAACTCTTTACGTAGCAGTTGCAGTGAAAGTGGTGAAGAAAATCCCAAACTTAAGTGTGGATACCAGTCATTTATTGGAGCCTGTATTGGCCGAAGGCTGATGTTATCTCGTTTGGTAGCATCAATGGATATTGAAACTGATGTCGTTAATCACCTGGCTAAATATCTATCGGCTGAAAACTTGGTGGTTGCAGCCTGCACATTTAGAAAGCGGCGGCACAAAAAGAATCAACGCATAATTCACTTGAATTTACTTGCTGTTCGACGCCACCTAAGAAGGCAAAAGCTCGGCTCTATTATGTTGCGGTATCTAAAGAGACCTGACATAAGCGGCTATTATGATGCCCTCATTGTGCATGCTGATTTGGATGCTGTTGGCTTTTTTGAGAAGCATGGTTTTACTGATGACATTCTGTTGAATCATTTTTGGGAGGATTTTACTAGTGAGTACAAAAACTGCAAAATAATGACTTACGTTCCGGGATACAGTGATCAGTACTGCTCTGTAGCAAGTTGCTCACCGCTTCCAGAAGAGACAAACTGCGGCAGCTGGATTAAGAAGCTCGACGTGAACATCAGGGAATGGCAACATAATGCACAGCTGACTCACCGCAACCAATATGTGTTGTACCGTAAGATGAGAAACGAAATAATTGAGTTGCAAAACCTCGTAAATCTCCAAGTAAGTACATGCGATTATTATATTTGCGATGTTAGTCTGTTGCAAACAGGTACCCATAAGTAACCGATCAGGCATTGCTTGATTCTCCGCCAAGCAAATAAGTGTAAGATATGTGCAACACACTGAAATATCAGAACTTCCAAATAGATTAAGTCACCTACAATTATGGCAGCTTTTTAATTAATGAGAATGATTATGCCATATTGTGCAAATGGGATGAAAGTGTTCAGTAAAGAAAAGTGTTTAGTGTCTTAATATTAAACATTGTTTAGGTTTAATAAAGACAAAAGGAATCTTTTTCAACCCTTACGTTCAAATAAGACGACAGCGGTAGAGAATTTACCTGGATGTTTTCTATTGTTGTGTGCGTTTTTCATTGAGTGTTAGAGAGCAGAAAGTTGGTGCCATGTCAGCTCCTTCTCTTGCTAGTATTCCACAGATTTCAGAGTAGATTGTTGTGGCATGAGTCAGGATGAGGTAGTAGCAACCCTGCAGGATCCAAGAGCATTCAGTAGGTAAGCGTCTAGCAAATGTTTGAAGCTCGATGTAGACTGCACATTAACATGCGGGTCCGGCGGTCGATTTCAATCATTAACAACCCGTGTAAATAGAGCAGCGTCTAAAAGGACTATGAAATTCCTAGGATTAAAGCAGTAATTTTAATTCAACAAGTTACTAAAAACGGAATGAACAGTAAGGCCGGTAGATTCATGCATTTCGTATTGTAACCTCAGTACCAATAACAATAGTGTCTGTATAGCTATGAAAAAAGTAAGAGCAAACAGAGAGGCCTAAAGTGCAGAACGAATGACGGAGGTTTACACCTAGGTCAAAGACAGCTTTAAACTGACAAAGATTTGTTTAGAAACACACCACGCTGGCATCATCTGGCATATAGCACCAGCCACAGTAAACCGAAAAGATAAGTTTGGGGTAACATAACATAAAACGCTGAACCCAGGTCTATCCGATGTACCCAGTCCAGAAGAGGTTTGCTTATCGAGAAACCCGGCGGCCTGCACAAAAGTAGAACCTGATTTCCTCATGCTACTGTTAAAAAGATGCATTTCTACGGAAATAGCCCTAGTGTTCTACTACAAACGATATGTCCATGATATCTTGGCTTTCTGTGTGTTGGAGCAGCAGCTCACACATTTGGTAGAACGGCTCAGTGGCGCTCATGCTAAATTACGCGTTACATGCGAAGTAGAAGAGAACAGTTACTTGCCAAATCTAGCATGCTAATAAGTCGCAGGAAGGATGGATTGATTACGAGGTCCGTTTACCCAAAATCAACTTGGTCCGGTCAGTACCTGCACTTCATCAGCTTCACATAACTGCGGTATAAACGGACACTTGTGAAGACGCTAGTTAGTCGTGCCAGACGAATTGGTTCAGCCGACTGTTTAGACGATGAGCTAGTGTTAATTACAGCAACGGTAATAGCGAACAGCTATCCTTGAAGGTTAAGCAAGAAACACAGCAAGAAACACACGGCAGCCAAAGGAAAGTGTATTTCGAGGTACCTTTCAAAGGGGATTTAGCCACACTGAAGATAACTAAGCGGATAATTTTGGCTATACAAGGAAGTTGTTATGCTGCACAATTTGTCGTCATCAACCGGACCTGAAACTTGCCCATACTTTCAACAAAGGAAGCTCGGCATATTGGGGCCAACTCACACTGTGTATACTAGTTTGTATGTGACTGCAGAAACAGTTACATAAGCAGAACTCATAGAACGCTGACTTTCCGAATAAAGCAGCATGTATCAAAGTGGGTGCAGCGTAAAGTTGCTCAGATTGTCTACCGTCGTCCGATTTCATGTTTGCCCAGACCGCCGGCTTCCTCGTTATGCGAATACCTATTAGGCTCGGTTCACCGGATAGAGCTGGGCTCAACGTTTAAAGTTGTGTTACGCCATATTAATCCTTGCCTCCCCCGGTTTACTGATGCTGCCACTATAAGCCGGATGAACTCAGCCTGGTGTATTCAGAAACAATTATTTGTCAGCCTAAAGCAGCCGTGAATGTAGGTCTGAACATCCATCAGTAGTTCTGCACCTCAAGCTTGTTTGGCTGCACCCACTGTTGGCTATATCTGTGCATATCCGTTATCGTTAATAGTACTGAGGAGACGATACGAACTGCATGCATCTTCTAGCCCTCCTCTTCTTTCCGTGCCTTCCTGTATTTAAACTATTCCCACTGTTACCTCGCGCCAAACTGCCAAGTCTTAACTGAACACTCCATTTTAGCTCTTCTCCCAATTCTCCTAGTGGAATGCGACTAGTGTAAATGGCATCTTCGCAACCTCGGCCCAATCTAAGGGGAAAACATTTATCTTCTGTAGCCTGGCGGGCTAGTGGAATTCTCGTAGCTTGAGGTCAAATTTCGATGCACGCCGCTGAACTTTTTTGATCCGGTCACTTTCATGTTTCCATACTGGCGTTCTGGCTGAAAATATGAATTCAAAAATTTGGAAGATATGAGAGGTAAAGAGAAGTCTAAATATGCAGCGTCCCATTAGAGCATGATCCCCATAAGACGCTACACATTCTGTTCCTCGTATAAGTTTTATTTAATGTGTCACAATCAGTCTTGAGGATGGAGGACACTTTTGTCCCTAGGTCCATTTCCTGAGTGGCAGTCCTGAGTAAGAACCCGCCAATGTGTTAAGTGTCCAGTGGTTCCGTAGCACCGATGGGAAGGATAGGGCACTTATCATTGTTGACCGGAAAACACCAATTACTAGGCCAGAAGTAAAGTAGATCTAGGCTTTCCTGTAATCGGTCGGTGTCCTCCAGGATGAATACTTCCGACCATGGCTTGAGGGCGTCTACCTAGGTCAGACGGTCCGTTCATATCACAGTTGGTATGTTATTGATATGGACCTTAAACGGTTCCGTTGGGAGGAAGGAGCTTTGTGAAACATCAGTGGACATACGCACTGGAAATAAGAGGGTTTCCCTTACCTTGACTTGCCTGCCTCTACCCGAAGTCGACGAATACCATTTCTATGCGTTTTCCAGTTTCCAACGTTTTTGTCCACTTCTCTCTTGCGACAAGCAGGTTAGTGGTGCAGAAACGTCCCCTTTGGAAACCATGCTGAATGGGCGAAGTAATGTTCAGCACTTTGCAGTGTTGATAGATTGCACAATTAATGAGCTTTGCTATGTTCTTCGTAATGGGGCTGGACCTTACTGTGGTACGATGGTTTGTGTGCCTCAGCGATCCATTGAGCTATGCTGGGTGGTGCATCTTTTGCACCTTCCGAGCCACTTATACCAGATTGATCAATGGTTAGAGGCCAGACAAACGCAGCTTCCTGGTCCTCCATGTTGAGGGTTGGTATGAAGTGGCTCTTTATTCCTTAAAACGGGCTCCTTGTAGCCCAACGCCAAACCCGCTGCCTTGCGGTTAGGTTTATGAACCAAAGGCTTTGGTTGAGAACCCTAATCGTTCTCTTGTCTGGGCCTGGGCGACCTGGCAGTATCCTGCCCAGGCAATACAATGAATTTCTCTGCAGACAGTTTCTTGATGCTCTGGCCACCGCAGAGGATAATCAACAGTGCCCTACCTGCTACATCGAGCAGGGTGGATGGGAGTTTAGATGCTACTGCTCAAACCTACCCATCCTTTTATTTCCCCGCTTAAGCTTTTGCACTCTTTCCGTCCCGATCCAGTTTCACTTTTATCCCCCTGTTTTCAATCTCCTAGTTCTTTGCCCTCCCCCACCTTGCTTGGATAGGCTTTTACCTTCTAGTTTCAAGTCCCATGTGAACGAGGAGTGTCATTCCTGTCCTGTCGACAAGCCCATGTCCAACCAAGCGGTCCGTTCCAGTTCATCGACTTCCATTTGGAGCCCTCGATCCTCCTTCAGATTGGCATGCCTCAATGTACGCACATTGCTTCAGATCGGTCAACAGGCCGCACTTGCCCCAACATTAGAGAACCTCTCGATCGATATCCGCTGCTTATCGGAGACTCGCCTGCAAGACTCGAGCTCTGTGCTTACTTTGCCGTCCCCTTCAGGTGACACCAGCAGTAATTTCTCATTGCGCCTATCCGGTGACGATGCAGCTTCGAGCACCGGCCAATTCGGGGTTGGTATTGCTCTGAGTCCCCGGGCTGAAGCTGCTCTAGTGGACTGGATTCCAATCAGTAGCCAGTTGTGTACGGTCCGATTGGCTCGCTCGTTCAAAGCATCGAAGTGGCGCGGGATTAACAAGTGTCTATTCGTCATCGCTGCCTATGCACCCACAAACTGTAGAAATGACTCGGTAAAAGACGACTTCTAACGCCAATTGAACGGGATCATTCACCACAGAACAAGCTACGACACTGTTTTACTGGCTGGGGATCTGAACGCTCAAGTTGGAAAGTTATCCACTGAAGAACTGCATCTGGGCGGCCAACATGTTGTAGGCTCCCGTAATGATAACTGTAGGCAATTACTTCATTTGTGTGAAGATGCTCGCTCATTTCTTGCGAGCACTAATTTCCGACACAGCACCCGTCGGAGGGTGACTTGGCACCCACCAGCATCGAATCAGCTTTGGACGCAAATCGATCACATTGCGATAAGTTACCGCTGGAGAGGCTGTGTCCAGAACTGTCGCTCGATTTGGAGCACAAGTGGGCATACCGACCACATGCACTTGTATGTGCTGACATGCGGAGGCGTTTTGGCGGAAGCCCAAGACAACGCTGTGTGCGCATCGATACTATCCAACTGACGAAACCAGCTGTTCTGAATATCTATCGAAGTACGCTGTCATGCGAGTTGAGTAAGCCCTCACTAGATGCGGTTGAAATTCACTGGTCTCATATTCACTAGTCTTTACTAGCAACAGAAATATCCTCATGTGGTAAGCCTAATCACCAACATGGACATTAGGTCTCTTCGCAGTTTCTGGAACTTATCGATGTTCGCCGGCATATTCCGGCTGGAAGCGAACACAATGAAACTGGCAAAGGGCTCCGGGCAAAACTCCGTGC